TCAACATCTTTGTATACATTCTTACGAACGAGAATCATTACAAAGATTTCCTAAACAATGGCCTATTTACAAAATACTATCAAAAACCACACAAAGCACAATTTCAAACAAAAGCAAGTGATCTAGCAAGTAACTAAGAGCCCATGGAAAACCATGGATGAAAAGGGTGCTAATACCTTCCCTTTTCATAATCTACCCGCTGAACTCAAGAAACAATCTCAAAGGTCTTTCCTGTGCTTTTTCACCTTTCCTTTTAGATAAAAGAAAAGTCGATGGCGACTCTTGCTAACCGCAACATTTGCGATCAAACGCAAAACCTTCAAGTCAGTTCTCCCACCGTATCACAGAAGGCTTTTATAAAACCCAACTATTGGGGCAAAGCTGGGAGGACTCGATTAAACTCCTCCTGGCCTAGAGCGCCACTCATCTCTTGCATGCATTGAACTCATGACCCTGTCATCTCTTCCACACTAGAGGGTTTTACGATGTTCCCCTCATCGTCACACTCTCTCAAAATGACCATTATCCAGAAAAAGAAAAAATGTAAAGGATGGAGTAAAAGAGGAAATGCTTGGAAAAGGAAGGAACACTTGAAGGAGAATTAGAGACGTTCTATTTGCAAGGATAAATTGTGTTATGCGGTTTCCAAGATAGAAAAGGAAAGAAATAATTATGGCCTTTAAATATATCCCAATGAATAATACACTAGGTATGGGGAGCGTCGCTCAATGAACATGAGTTTAGGTGGGAGTCATCATTACCTCAAGAAAGAGAAAATTGTGATTCTATGTTTCACGAAACATGGACCAAGAAAAGGGAAGCAACCTGGCAACGTTTGTGTTAACCTTACATGACTATGTGACCGAATACGGCGCCCTCACAGAGAGAGGACTTGAACTCGAGGGGCTTATATATATATCCCGAAAATAACAGGCCCTACCGGGTAGTGTAACCGGCAAGAAGAAAGAGATAAACTAGTAAATGACTCGAGATGAAGATACCCAGGGTACAACCTAGTTAAGAGAGCATCGAGCTTCTCACGAGCCCGGGTAGCTACTCGCCCTTGTCGTCACCTTGAACGAGGAAGATGACCGGGTAGCTCCTACTCATAACCGATCATCTTCCTGGCCCATTTAAGCATGTAACTGCCGACAGTGCATTCAATGTTACATTACACAACACTAATCATCTTCATTCATGGAGACGACGGTGGTTACACAGTTATAGAACTCAAGAGTCCCTCATTAACTGAGACTCTTAATGAAGCCAAGACACTAACAATATAAAGGGGCTCCTAACCGAGGGATAAGCAAGACATTCATCTTGAGACGCACGCATCATTGTCGTAGCTCTCAAATTCCCTAATAATCTCATAAACTCACTCTGGTAGGATCTCCCTAGTTGCCTCTTGGAAGGTCGGTCGGATAATTATTCTACACATGAACAAGTTATATCTCACAACACTCTTAATACAAGAGTATAAGAGAACAAAGAAAGTTAAATACAAGTTTAAAGTGCTTTTGACTGGTGCATGTTGTAACAAAGAACTTGAATCCTATATATAACTTTAGGTTCCCTCTTCCTTCACAAAACTAAGTGATGTGGGACTTCAAATAACTTGTATCATATATATAGCATTTGACTCCTTATTCATTCACAAAACTAAGCAACGTGGGACTTCTTCAACATGTATATTTTCAATCCAACCCCAACAATACTCTTTATGGAATGTTGAGTACAAGTTTGAGTAGTTAAACTCTCACATTGTCTATGAATGAGTGGAATGTTGGATTTATAAGAGAGAAGACCCATTTACCTAACACCTTAAGGTTTTAGGTTGGGATGTGGTGTCTCCCTCTCTTCTAGTCATGGATCATTGGTCTTGTTGGTGCTCCTGAGTTCCCCGAACACCCCAACAAAGTATTGGTGGTCGCCTAAAAAAATGAGATATAACTTGAGTTTTTATTATAAGTAAAGAATAAGAAGAATGGTATAGGAATAATGACCCAATGTTTTTCAAATGATTTGTGAATGCAATAGAACCTAAAAACACCAACTATGTTGTTTGAAAGTGAAAGGAAATAGTACCTAAAATTTTCAAATAGCTTGTTTTACTTCATTTTTGCTAGGTTCAAGCAAAAAAACTACTTTACTTTTCATAATAAATTCGACATTTTGAAACGACATTGGAGACAGATCACAAGAAGACACATTGTGAGTATTGAGAAATTGAACTCTTAGAGATAGAAAATGCAATATAATAGCGCGTAAAAAAGAATACATAAGAAGTTCAAAGAAGATATCGAAGCAAGTAAATTTTAAATTGTGACGAGAAGAGGGTTGTGAACACTCTTTTTTTTAATACTCATTCTTTTATTGTTCACTCTCTCTTTAGATATGAGTTCAATATAAAGTGGTGGAACTCATACGTGTCATAGTCAATGAAAAATTAAAAATGTCTTTCGGAAATATATTTTCAGGATGTACTTTTTTTTTTGAAAATTATTTTTACAAAAAAATCGAAAATGTACTTCCGATATAAATTAGAAATATATTTTTGATTCCTAATAAACAAAAAGTAAACACTTAATGTTCTCCTAATGACAAATGCACACTCTTTTTCTAATTAGAAATCTGAAATGCATTTTCAATTTATACCGAAAATATATTTTCAAAATCAATTTTATTATGAATAAAACAAATATCAAAACCGAATAAATTATATATATGTGAGGGTATACACCAAAAATACATTTCTAATTTTCATGAATATTTTTAGAATTTTCCGTAATACTTAACAAACACTTAAAGTACGTTAAGAAATTCACTAACAACGAATGTTAAAAAGAGATTCTGCACTATAACGATCTCTTATCATTCTCTACTATAACAATGTTTAGAAGAAATTCAAAATAATGTTAAGTGACTTCTCTCAATGGCACGTTCTAGGAAGTGGAGCAAGTTTGTAAATCACATGCAACTAAACGTTACCCCACGTGTGCGATACTTTTGTCACGTCTTAGAAATTCGGTAACGGTTAGTCCTGACGTGGTATGAAAAATACACCAATTTTACGCGGTATCTTAAAAATGTCAAATTTAAACTATATTTGAAAATTAACATTTTATGGGGCATCTATTACACGTAAAATTTATAAATTCAAGTTTAAAGTAAATGAACTCCTAGGAAGTGAAAGAAAATAGCATTCTATTCGAATAAATTAACATTTTTCGAAATGCTACTCAATCAAAATTCAAAAACGGTGTCCTCTTCATAATAGTTGAAAGAAATTACAAGTTCAAAAGAAAATTAGCTTAAACGATTAAAGTTAGTTGATAATGGTTACATTAAAAAAAGTTGTATGTACTGAACTTGATATTTATGTCACGACGTGAAAAATCATGTTATAATATTTTATTAGTGATTGTGAAATTTTATGCGGTAGAAGGACAACTGACAACTATGTTACAACGTGATTTTCACTTTATAATTATGCCACATGAAATTTACATCACAACAGTTTACACAGAGGACAAAACATATTTCAGTAGGAGCATAGAGAACATGATAAGTAACTCTGAGTTATAACATGATTTTCATGTGACCAAGTAAAATTTAAAAGCAATTGCGATGTGGTATTCACCAAACTTATGAAGTGAATATCACGTCACAAAATAATTTTTTTTTTAAATGAAAAATTGAAAATAATTAACTTTATTTTCATTTTATTTTTAATAAATATAATATACTAAATTAATAAAAAACTATAAATAATAAAAATTTTAAATAATAATTTTATAATATACTAGAAAATATACCGACGGTGTAATATACTAGGAAATTTTACAAAAATAAAAATTAATATACTATAATATATTTTAGTTTTAATTATATTTTACATAAGTATGATGTTTTTATTTTTGTTATTTTATTATTTAAGTTGCGTGATTTCTATGCCACAATATTTTATCTTAAATTTTGTTCTGACTTTCATATGTGCTAACATTACTTATAATTTTTTTTATTAACAAAAATATGTAGCGACGTGATAATCACGTCATAACTCTTTTTTTTGTCACGTAAAGTGACGGGGTATGTGTTCTTGTAGTATTAAGAATCGAACTTGTTGATGCTCATGCGGAAGTAAAATTTCATTAGATGGAGCTATCTCCTTGTTAGGAGAGTTCAATTTCCATTTCAAAATCTACTAAATAAATATTACATATCTGTTTACACTCGAAATAAATAAAATTTTCACTGGATTAGTGATTAAGAATGATGCTTGTTACTCACCTTTACTATTAATATATACATTACCTAAGTTTTTCTTCTTGTTGTTTTAATTGTACTTTACATTTAAAATACATTAGTAATTATAAGTTTCTTGAATCAATAACTTGTACCATTAAACTTATCATATTGAGAATTCTAAAAAAAAAACTGACATGGCCTTAGATCAATCACGAGTCCATTGGTTGAAAATGATTAAATTTGTTGGCAACAGTAATTGTTTAGATTGTGACCTAATGAAACTTTCTCTATGTTCAATAAGTTTTGATAATTACGTCAGCAAGAAGAAAACTGATAGAAAGAACAAATTTGTTCCTTTTTGTTTGATCTAATACCAGAAAAGAAAATCCCTGATTATTTATAATGTAAAGAGACAATAATTAGTTTGTTTTTTCTTCCCTTTTATGCAGCAAAATTATAATTTATACAGTCTCATAAAGATATAATATTATATGAAAACTATTCCTTTCCCCTTCATGAGACAAACCTTATTATGATCAAAGAATAAAGACATTTCTTTGTGTTGAAGAAATTTCTTTTCACTTGTGACAGCAAAGAAAAGAACCATATTATTCTACAAAAGACAACCTTTCATAGTAATGTTCTGGTAATATATAAATGTCAAACCACTAAGCTTAACAAGGAAAAAACACAATCCAAGTTTTCTTCTTCTTCATAATTTGATCATTGGTATTTGAGGTTGAAGTTCAATGGCTTCAGGAGGATCAAAATCAATAGCTTTAATCCTTTTAGCCCTAAACCTAGTCTTGTATTTCATCGTAATCGTAATTGCTTCATGGGCAATGAACCACGGGATTCAAAGATCCAAGGAAGCAGGTAAATGATAAAAACAAAAATATTCATTTCAATTTAAGCTTAATCATCTTATATACTCTTTGTTGAATTGAGGTCATTTGGTTGTGTATTTGCAGCATCAGTTTTGACGACTCCAGCAAGAATATTCCCAATATACTTCCCAATGGGGAACATGACAACTGGCTTTTTCATAATTTTCACTCTTATTGCTGGTGTTGTGGGGTTTACTACCTCAATAACTGGATTGAATAACATATTCCAGTGGAATGCTCCTAATTTAGATGCTGCAGCTATGTCTTCATTGATAACATGGGCACTCACTCTACTAGCTATGGGGTGAGCCTTATCAATTTTCTTCTCTGTACCACATACACCTCAAAAAACAGGCATGTCCGTGTCAGTGTCAATGAGACGACACAGATAAATATTTTTAAAATTGTTACCAGTTTCGATGTGTCAGTATCACGTATGTGCAGTTATTTCCATTCCAACACAATATTGTAATAACAATGCATGATAAATATGTAATATGAGTGTGGTTTATTTTCTTGCAGATTTGCATGTAAAGAGATTGAACTTGGTTGGACTGATTCAAACCTGGTAAGCTTCTTATAGAATGCACAAAATTCTGAATCACAAGTGCAGTTTTATTTTACAATATTCTAACTGATAAAGTAAATATTATAACTATTTTTGGTTTGATTTTTCCAGAGAACCCTTGAAACAATAACAATAATTGTAACCGCAACACAACTGTTATGCACTGGTGTTATTCATGTTGGGGCTTCAGAAGTTATTTATCATTAGAGAATTGCAAGAGTATGAGTTTCGGTTTCGATTGGTGTCATATATGAATTCTCAGAAGAAAAGAAAAATCCTCATCTACTACAAAATTGTGACTTAACTCCTTTGATTTTTTACACAAAAGTTGTTTCATTACATCTTGTTTTATATATATTTCACTTTTAAAGTTGTTTCTCTTATAATATTTCATTTACGTGCTTATAATATTCTTTTTCGTGAACTGAAAGGGCATAAGCCCAAAACACACGATTACACTATATCATTTTGAACATACTCGTTATCTCCCTAGGACAATAATCTAAACATGTTATCCCTAAATTTAGCTTAGTTCTGTTGAGAATCAAGTGTGAGGAAGAAATCTCACATTGATTATAAAAGGGAAGATTGAACACTTATATATGAGAGAACTCACTCATCTATTACCTTAAGGTTTTAGATGGACAAGTGGTGTGTCTCTCACAAAGGTGTGTTCCAAGTAAAAATGCTCTCTCCTCGGAATTGCCCCTACAGTGGTATCATGAGCCTTTGGTTTCGAGATAGGGACCGGCTTACTTGTATCGAGCGATGGTACAAGTGTATGTGGAAGAGAGTCATTCCACATGAGGGGGAGCATTGTGACTCACACTTGAGGGGAGTGTTGAGAATCAAGTGTGAGGAAGAAGTCCCACAGTCCCACATTGATTATAAAAGGGAAGATTGAGCACTTATATATGAGAGAACCCACTCATCTATTACCTTAAGGTTTTAGATTGACAAGTGGTGTGTCTCTCACAAAGGTGTGTCCCAAGTAAAATGCTCTCTCCTCGGAATTGCCCCTACAAGTTCCAATTTTGGCCAAACCATCTGCAAACCTGTTCGCCTCTCTGAAAACGTGAATGTATTTGTACTCTTCCATTTTCTATAGCTCGCCAAGAATATGCCACACCAGTGATAAAACAGTTCCTTTCTTTTGTTGCTCAAATAGAATCAACTCGTAAGCATTCTTTGAGTCTGTTTGTATGATTACCTTCTCACGTCTGTTGGTATTGTTGAAGATCCTTACATCTTCAAGGATGCCCCATAATTCCTCTTCGTAAAACCATGGATCCAGCTTCCTTTGTTATCACAGATCACACTCCCTCGCACCCTGCCTTTTGATTGTTGAGCACCGTCCCATCAGTATTTAACGCCAACCAATTCTCCTCAGATGGAATCCACTTTTGCCCCCAAACTGAGTTGGTGTTGTTTCGCACTTTCTGACTCATTTCTATGCTTTCTTGGTATTGCTGGACTCTGGTGTAGATTGTCTATACAATTTCCTTGGGAATGATGTATCCGTTGAAATAAATTTTTATTCCTCCAAAACCAGATGACATGCATTTTCTCAGGTTATTGCTTGGTCAAAAATCATTAAGTCATCAGCGAACATAAGATGACATATCTGAGGCCCTTTCCTTCAAGTTTTGATGCAGTCCAAATTGCCATTATCTACTTCATCAAGTATCAAATTTGAAGCCTTGTTTTGCAGGTGATATGCTTTTAACAAAGACGTCAACTTTTGATGATGACAACTAATATAAGTCAAGCATGAGCGATTAAGAGGATAAAGATGCAAACTTTATCATTAGGGCTTGATGGACTTTACTATCGATGATGGAAATCAAATGGAATACAACCTAAAGCCTTATCTCAAACTACTTAAGTAAGTGTCTACAGAAGAGAAAGCATCCGACAAAGTCTTGAAGTACTGTGGTACCTCCTAATTTAGTAATGAGTGAATCTATTTATAAAACATAAGGGCTTTATCATAAAAGTGCATGGCTAAAGCACAATTTTTTAAAATGTTTTTTAGCAAAGAAAATACCTTCTAAAAACATCTTGAAGTTATGCCAAATGAATTAGGAACCATCGAAATTACAAGAGGAAAAAATTTAACTTATCAAATCAGTTAGAACTTTGGTCTAATTGGTTAGATCAGTTCAAAGTTGACCCCCGATCAACGGTTAGGACAGACAACTCCTTAATGACGCGCAACAAATATATATTTTTTCCTTTCTTTTATAAACTTACAAACGATTATATTTCAAACTTCTAATCGGTTAGGAAAACTTATCAATCGATTAGATTGCTTTTAAATAAATTTATTGGAAATTCCTTTTTGAGTCAGCATCTAGCATATAAATAGAGGTCCATTCTCATTTCATTTTATTTTGAATCGTATTTTGACACTTTCAACTCTCGCTCTCTGTGTCTCTCTCCCTCTCTCTTTCTCTAACCTTTTATTTAACTGTCTCTCACTCTGAATTTAACCTAAGTGCTTTTGTGAATGAGAAAAATTTGTAATTCTAGAAAGGGTAGAATTGTAAATTCACCAAGGGAATCTATTGCATACACCTTTGTTGAATATTATCCATCTAGAGATTTATTTGGGCTAGAAGATAAATCTGTTAAAAGCTTTGGTTTAAGATTGTGTGATTCGTTTCCAATATAGGTTCGAGATTAGCACGTTATAAAATCTCATAGGTTCTTGGTAAGTCCAGTATTAAAACCAAGATAGGTTGAAGCTCTTCGTGATATTAAAAACATCATAGGTTCAAGATCAGTCCGGTTTTAAAATATCACAGGTTATTGGTTATTGTTTGTAAAGCCAAGGTTTAGAGCTAAAGGTTTAATAAGCTTGAAGACTAACAACTCCAAGGTTCTTGTTTGCGGAAAGAATACTAACCGATTTAATCCACCATTGGTAAGGAAGATTGGTCATTCACTCATAAGCTTATCTAGAAGAAAAGACATAAGTGCTCATTATGGTCGTACCAATTTCCAAGGAAAGCCCCCTCTTCAAGGAACCTATCGTGTTTGCACACATTATAGTCGTACCAACCACACTGTTGAAACATGCTTTATAAAATATGCACTACAACAAATAACACTTTTTGTGACAATGTTTTCATCTCGAACATGCCAAAAACCGAGAGTATCTGTCCTAGGAGCGCCATGTTTGATTTTTTTAATAAAATAAATAAAATTTTACCTCAGTGTTATAAACAACTGAGGTAACAAAGCTATAAGTGAGCACCATTTTTATACATAAAAGAAATAATAAATCTATTCTCTCATTTTTTTTTGGAGAACCGAGATAATATAACTATAAGGTATCTCGCTTCGAATCCCCGTTATCGCATTTAAAAAAATTTCAACGATTTATCACTTGACGTCTTTTCCAGATTTCATGTTTTTCTTTGTTAATTAGTAATTCTCAAAATCCTTGTTATCAATAAACAAGAATAAGAAATAATAAAAAAAAGTAATATTTCATTGATAATAAAAATATAGACAACATAGATAGTTTTTTGCTCAAATAAATTCTTAAGAACACAAACCTTACACTCAAATAATTTTCAGCTCTTACAATCTACCATAGAGAACTATTAATAGAAAACACTCTTGCAAACCTCACATCTAAATAATTTTCTATTGTGGATCTTTACAATTGTTTTTTCTTGCATTTTTTCTGGTATGAATAAAAAAAGGTTTAGATACATATATAATTTTCTGTTCAAATAAATATTTAAGAACACAAACCTTAAACCTAAATAGAGAACTCTTCATGACAAACACTCTTGCAAATCTTAAAATGAAGGATAGTCATCTAAGTTTTGATATTCAAGACACTTTTATAATAAAAGTTATCTAAGTTTCACGCAGATCACTAATGGCATTGTCTTGAGCGTTGATAGTCATGAAATTGACGACAAGGATTTGATTACAGATTTGGTAAATATTTCAATTATAATGCTAAATGTTACCTCAGTTTTTAGGAAAACTGACGGGTTAGAACATTTAATTTACAAATAAATAAAAACAACAATTAAAATAGAGGTTCCAATTTTAGCGCAAAATGTTCCCTCGATTTTTATGGAAAATCGACGGGTTAAAAGATTTATATTACAAATAAAAAATACAATTAAAAAAGATGTTAGAACACGGACATGACACACATGCATTGGAATCATATCACTTATCTAGAATAGCAATGATCAACTATACTCAACATTCTCTGAGCTATTTAAACGTATCTTTTAAATTATCAAGGAGGCTTTTGAGCTATTTAAACGTCTAATTACCAACTCCTTGTTTCACAGTCTTTTCCTATTTTCAACTCCCAGTTTCCTTGTTTCAAAGTCCTTATGAAAATTGGATGCAAATGTGTTATTTATTTTCAGTGAAAAGTATGTTGATTTCAATGATTTTGAATGTTTTAATCTAAAGTTGAGGAAATTTGTTGACAAAAAAAGTTTAATGGTTACTTTAACATTCTACACGGCCCCATATACACTAACCTCATTAAAGAGTTCTGGATGAAAGCCTCCGTTGTGCTAGCTGGTCATAAAGAAATCATCCATTCCTATGTCAATGACTCTCATTTCTTCATTACTCCATCACTGATTTCTATGACAATCAACTGTAAAGAGTTCGGTAGTTGTGTTGAACATTATGAATTCAACGATGTCTATCCAACCCATCTTTATCGACTTTTTGCTACCAAAAATAATCTCTCTAGTCCTGCTTCTCTGAAACCAATTGCAAAGTTTTCATTTCAACTTCTAGTGGCAAATCTCCATCCAAGAGAGAAAGACCTGGAAACGCTTACTTGGTATGACAAGCATCTCTTATTATTCCTCACCTACAACATGAGAGTTAATCTTCCTCTTACCATTTTCAACTTCTTGAAGGAAATGATAAAGACTTCTCGAGAGGAAACGACTTTCCTCATATCTTATAGAAGAGTTCTTTCTGAACTTTTCTATAAGTTAGGGGTAGTTAGGGGTGATGTTGAAGTTGAGAAGACTGAGATGTTAGAATTTGTTGAGTAGTTTTCTTTGTTGTGTTTTTTTATCATGAATGAAATATTTCCTTTTTTTTTTGTTATTGCCTGTTCTTGTTAAACAAAAAAAAGACGACAAGTGATAAATCGTTGTAAAATGTTTTATATGCGGAAACTGGGATTCGAAGCGAGGTTCCTA